TATGTACCACATAGCTTCCTGGAATTCCAGTAATTGGGATCAGATCAGAAGAAATCCTAAAAATAAATTAATCCAAGAAGCATGGGGATACTGCTTCAGGTTCTGAAATAATTGTTCCTGTGCACAGTCCTGAATAAATAAATAAATAAACTCAAACTCCGCTAGTTTGTCTGTAGCCTCATTATCTAGAACAAAGGTGCACTACCTGACCATGGATGCATGAAAACCATGAAAAGGAGAAACATTTTCTAGATACTCAACATTTATTTTGTCTAGTGTTCAGTTTCGCTCTCAAGTTCTTCTTTTGTTCACTGTGGCCTAACAAAAGAACAGGTTTCTTGCTGAGCAATGCAGTTTTCACAACACATACAGATCAGACCACAGTTTCCCAAAGCAAACCTAGACGTTTATGAATAAATCTTGACACTTGAAGGCAAAGTCAGACATAGTCTACCTTGTTGGTGCGAGGATTGAGCATTAGTGGTCTTCCCTTTACTTTGGTGTATGCCCATCTGCAAACGGAGACGCGGGGTCTCAGGGACCAGGATGTCCTCAACCTTGACAACATGGTGGACTGTCAATGATCTTGAAGAAGCGCTGATGGAAACTTTCTAGGGTTAAAAAAAAGACAAAGTTTACCAGACAGATTCATTATTTTGTTTAACAATTATAAAAACTGTCAGCAAATGAAAGCAGTTCTGATGTAAACAAAATTTTTTTGGCTGACGATGCATACTTGGCTTGTGAGAAAACAAATCCCACCATAATCATTGTTCTGCAGCCATGGTAATCTGAGGTTTGTTTAGTTTGTTAATTGTTAGTTACATGTTAACACATCCCACTATTCTCTTGATATGACGTTAAGCTCTAACTAATGCAGATCATCAATTTACACACTCTGTCAAAGCCAGGTTATGTTTGTAGTGTGTGCAGACAGTCCTTCCACTGGGGATTACAAATGATCAGTGTCTTTAATCTGAATTCTGGTTTAAAGCAGTTTAGCATGAGCCTGACGAATACAAAGCTTTTGAAGATTATCAAAATCCTTTTTGAGAAGAAAACAACGGAAGACACACAGCAATAAAAATCTTGAAAAAGAATCAGTCAAAGCACAGAAAAATATTTGAATATTTTAGGCTAATGTACACTACATTCTGGACATCAAACTCTAGCTGATTAAAAATAACAATCTCAACAAATTAACCAAAAAAATTCTACTACTGTAACAGTATTATCACAGTCAAAGGAAGGTCATGCATGTTACTGGGTTAGAGCCAGAATGTATTTTGATGGATCCAGAAGCAACTTTGTAAAATGTATCTTATATTCTACAATATGTTAATAGCAAAAAATAATGACGAAAATTATCACATTAAAAAAACAATAGTTACTACAAAATACAAGCACATGGGTAAGGTGTCAATTAGCCTAGTTAGAGCAACAGTTTTTTGGAACCTGTGACTAAAGGGTAGCACATGTTTAAAGTACACAGTATTTTGTTAAAAAAAATTAATACTTTTTTTTAAGACAAAATAAAAAAATAAAATTCTGCTTAAGAATAAATATGCAATATTCTAATGAAGCAATCAAAGCAGTACAGTTTTGTTCAAAAGGTTGATAAGTATATCTAAGAAAATCAAATAAAAGAAATACATTTTCCCAATTCTTTTGCTCAACTGCTTTCCGTCTTGTTCTACAAAAGTTTGGGGTTTTTAGGGTGCTTTCACATCTTAAGCGTAGGTCACGTTTTTTGTTGAATATTTTCATATCTTATGTAACTTTATTGAAAACTGAATTTGTAAACCATAATCCAAAATCAACAGAAATAAATTCCTCAGATACATCATAGTGTGTAACAAACCTATGAAATAAATGGGCTTGAACTTGATCATTGACAATATTCTTAGTTACATAGCATGTACACGTATTTCTGCAACATCGTTCAAATCTGTCTGCATGCTTGGTGAACTGGAAAAAAGGTCAATACAGTTTGGAAGTGCTTGTTTGCAAAACCGTGAAGAACAACAAACAGCATCTTGAAGATGTGCATTTAGATTTCATCAGTTGTGCTTTAAATGATCCATCAGTCACTTCCATTCCACTTCCAAGTCATGCTGAAATCTCTAACTCGAGACAGCATTTTTGTTGGAATTTGACAACAATAATGCACAGCTTAAATAAAATCTTGATCTACTGTCAAAATTGATGTTTGACACTAGAAATAAATTAAGTGCACATAACACAAACTTTCTGCATCCAATTTATTTGTTTTTGGAGATGAGAGAACCCTATATAATTATGTACTAATAAGAGTTATAAAGACATAAGTAATTTTAGTGCATCCACTAAAATTGGTGTATTTTAGTGGATGCACCTTTGCTTAGCTAAATAAACTAAATAATAAACGTGCCTTAATATGTATAACCTATGTACATTTTATGAAAGGGTATATTTCTCTTCGTCCTCCCTTTTTAAAGTAGAAATTTATTTAAAGAATGTTTCCATTGTTCTATCGACGAAAGTACATATGATAAACCAATTATGTGAAGTAGGCCAAAGACCAATGCAGAACAATGGAAGCTCTATTCACACCTAATTTTATGTTTTTATGAGTTACTAGTAAAACTTAGCAACAAGTTTCCGCTTAGCTATTACTAGACGGTAATAAATGACAGCGTGGGAGGACGGAGAGGAAATATAACGGTACTGTCAACATTAACATGGGATAAACAACTAGATAAATAAATATATGGCAACCTTTAAAATAAAATAAAACAGGAAGCTAACAGGTTCTACAAGCTAGCAACTTGCTAGCTTGTAGCACCTGTTATGCCCTGTCTTTACGTGGGTAAAGACAGGGCACCAAATGTCACCAACAGAATCCCACCCAAGATGAACTCTTGAAACCTCGAAAACTACCGTTGTTCGTTCCAGCGCAAGTTATCATAACCGCAGCAGAATTTTAATACTTGACCTCATCCTACCTATCAGCAACAAGCCCCTTCCTTGCACGTTAATTTAGTCTCGGAAATGGGAAGTTCTCCGTTCGTAACGACAGCGACTTGGTTTACCTGCTTCCGGGTGTGAAAATACCGCTTTCCTTCTGCCGGACAGCCTAATGTTTTTTCAACATGTTTCTTCGGTGTAACTTTCGAGGTTTGACACCCTGGAGTGGGCTGGAGTACCCTTGGTCAAGAGCTACCGCTACAGACGGAGCCAGCTGTAAAGAGGGGAGGAACTTTTGCAAGCAAGAGGTTGGCAGCTCATCCAATCACATGCTGGGATTCCCTTCTTGGTTGCCGTAGAGACGGTAGCGCGCGTGACAGAAGCAAAGCATCATTCATCATTACGGTAAGGTTGCAAAAATATTTCTCATACTTTGGAACATTTTTCTACTCAAAAAACTGAAATGGTTCAACCTTCACAACATTAGTTCTTTGTACATCGTAATAGCAGTTTGTGATTACTTTAAAAACAAAATAGAAAATGTTTATTACCATACAATTCTACTACTTTATTATATTATTCATTTTATCATGACAGTCAAAATGAGCTATGTTTATCAATGCGCATTAGTTATAGATACAATGTTGAGATCTGTCACTGTTATGCATTTATTTATTATTGTTATTTTATGAAAATGTTGTCCAAATTGAACTATTTCACAGAGAACTTCACCTGTGACACCAGCACTTTTGAGAAATCAACTCCTCGTTTTGATATAGTGACGCAAAATGTAACTTTCTGTCCTCCATGGATATTCAATTTACAGCAGGGGATTAACACTATGACTAGATAGATATTGGGACAGATGGACAGACAGATCTTTTTTTCTAAATTTTTTTATTAATTTCCCAACAACGGTTGACACTCAAAAGAGATGCTATCAATCCAATACAATACAATTCCCAAAAAATTTTCTCAAATGAAAGGCTTAGATCCCCCTGAAGCATGAGTATGATAAATATGGAATAAGAAACCAGACAATTTGTTGCTGTTTCACAGAGACATACACCATTAAGACATGGATTAAGCTACCTGGATGCAGGTACAGATGAGGGCATATTTTACAAACAGAGATGAGGGCATATTTTACATTCAGCAAGCTGGAAGCATCAAGGTGTACTGAGGCACATTTTCAACATTGCTTGATAGAATAAGGACTTTTACTTTTGGCTCAGTAACCACATGTGTTACAGTTTGTTTGTGTCACTCAACAATGGCATTATTGCTGGCTTTGGTTGCCTTTGAAATAAACTGTGCCACCCATGTAGACTGTAAGACATAGTAAAAGTCAGACTGTATACCAACTTATCTGTTATTGAATCAAAAACGTGCAGTTTTTACTTTCTTTGAGTGCTCTAAATATGTCAAGGTTTTTGTTCTTATCGAGAAAGGTACATCACTGACAAAAGAAGACGATACAGAGTTGTAATGTTGATGGTGAATAAATGCTGCCTTTGTTAATGTGCTTCATATTCCACATGTGCTTTACTGCAAATTTAACAACAGAAATTTGTGATTTGACCGCTGTTTCACTGGGTTGTACTGATAGTATATCTTGTGTTAGTATCTTTTGGAAATACTTGACTACCTGCAGGCTACAGTGTGCATTAAATAAGCATATTGATATGAAACTCAATGCTTTATAGCAGTATCACTGTGGTTTACAACGAGGTCAATCAGTGAAAGACAAAAATATAATTAAACATGCTTGTTTTGGAGTATTGCTGGCAGTGTATTTTGAATGCAGAGTTTTACCTCTTGCACTCTCTACAGTGTTTTTCCAAGACAGGTGCAACTGCACTCTGTATACAGATAACGACAATTTCGCAGCAAGGCATTGCATTTCAACTTGTTACAATGTATGAAAAATTTCTTGAACTTAACTATCTTTTTCAACAGCCATATAGCATATCTCAGCAGCACCACCCTCCACAATTATTAGCCTCAAGCGTAATAACATTTTCTACTACAGAATTATAGCTGAAACACTTAAATAATATAAAACATAAATTTTATTTTTAGGCAGTAGCCGGTAAGTGAACAGGGTGCTGTATGTTTTCCAGTATGCTTGGCTGAGAGAAATAAAAGAGCAAAAATGCTATGAAAAAACAAACAAACAAATGAAACAGAAACATCTACAGTAACAACCTAATAAATACAAAAGGGTTCAGAAAAAATTGTACATTATAAATAGAGCTACTTGGCAGACTCTACATTTCCCAAAATATAGAGATAAGTGCTATTTATGCTACAGCTGTCTGTTGAAAACACTGAAGTGAGCAGAAGGTATTGAGGCCCGCAGCCGTGGAAGAAAACTGTTTTCATTGTGGAACAGATGTGGCGCATCGAGCAGGAAACACATTTCATGTGTTTAAAAATGAGTCCAGCGGGCAGAAGAATCATGGAGCACTACCATAGATTAGCTCTTTCCAAATTCAAACACAATCCCAGCTAACTCCAAAATGATTTAAAAACATAATTATTTATAATATTTAGAAAATATTGCAGAACTATTTTAGCCACAAAATTGTCTGATATATAACATGTACTTTAAAATCCAACACAAACATAACTTTATACAAGATTCTATTGTTATAACTTAGTAAGTCATTAGGAGTGTTAAAACATCAATAAATAAAACTAACAGTTGATCACGCCACACTCTGTCTAGTTACTTCTTAGTCAATACATTCAAACGCTTAGAAAAAGCTTTTGCTGCATCTCTTATCGTCATCATTTGGTAAATGTTATTGGAAGACTGACAGATTCTTTCAAGAGTTAACAGGATGGAGTTTAGAAAGCTAATTACAGCAGGTTTTAAGCACATAAGAGTCTAAGCTTGCTGTTATCAGTGACAAATATTTTGTGACATGAATATGGCGCAATGGATTAAGTCAGAGCTTGAACCTTCGCATTACATCACATCCCTACAAGCTGGTAACTATTTCATTTTCTCTCTTAAATGCATTTAAATAGCAAAGGAGTATGTTCAAAATCAGAGGTTGTGCATTAGCATGTGTGTCACAGGTTTCATTAGACACAAATGGACATAAGTGTTAATAGCTTATTCCTCAAACCTTCACTGTTTTATCTATATTTTATATAATTTTGACAATGAAGACTGAACCCGAGGCTGCTTAGATTGTGACTTGTTTTGTACTCTAAAGTCAGATTTCCCAGAATTTCCAGTCGGATATTCAACAACAATCTTGGTCAACTGATAGCACGCGTTATGCTGTGCAACTTCTAATTGCGACTATATGTACCTTTAGAGTTTGTAGGCATAAAATAGAAAAAAAAAAAAAAAAAAAACATTTTTACTGCCTTTAAGCTGTGATTGCGGTTAGAACTAAAACTTTTAGCAAAATTTTATGGTTTGCTAATATATTGTGTTAAGTTTGTCTTGGAGCTTGTCTTAATTTGAGAGAGTTGTAGCCTTAACTACAACTCCATTGTTGTAGTTAAGGCTAGAACAATAGAGTTGTAGCTTCTATTGTGTGTTTTCAGTCACAGCAGAAAACTGGTGTGACTGGCTATTTGTCTTTGGAGTTAACTATTACTGATATGTTTTCGGTTTTTATGTTTTGCACTAACATGTTATGTTTCAGTTTCACAGTTAGAATTTTGACATTCTAGTTGCATTTCAACTGAGAATTAGGAAAATCCAACTTCCTACCCATAAGAGAACACACCAGTGGAATGGACAAAACTCCGTGTCATTTTCTGATCAGTGTCAATGTGAGAGAAAACAAACAGGAGACCTCTGACCTTCTTAGTCATAATTTCAATTTTAGGGGACATTCTTGTTTACCCAACTCATGTGCGATGTTCTCAGATCAGAGTTTTGACTTCCAAAAACAAATCAAACACACCAAGAGACCACTCACTTTACTGACAGGAGATGTGACTTCAGGGGACATTTATGTTGTATTTCCAACTGGGAACTCATTAAATCCAAGTTTTAGTACAAAGACAATGCATCACTAGCGATCATCAAGTCTTGAATGATTGACAGTTAGCTTTGCTACCTATAGAAACAGGCATAAAGCAGAACTACTACTTACATTACGTAAATGTTTAGTATTTATAAAGTCAAGTGTGTTGATTTATATTTCACTCAAGTTTTTTCTTAGCTTTTATTGCCTGAGAACCAAAGCTGCACAACTGCTGTTTTTAAACTGAAGCCATTTGAGGGCTAAAAAGTCAAGCTGCTACCATAGAATGCAGTGCATCCCTCATTTGCAGTGTATTTTGAAATGTGACTATTTTTATAGTTATCTTGTGCTAACCCTGGAACTGAGATTATGAGTTGGGAGTCTGTGATGAGGAAGTCCTATGCTCTGAAAGACGGGCCACCTTTCCTTTAATGCTTGCTGTTTTGCTCTCCTCCATCCAGCCTTCATCTTTCCCTTTCTTCACTTGAGCTTTCTCCTTATTCTGCCGGACCAGCTTCAGAGCTCGGGAAATGAACACATCAAGGTCAAACAAGCGCTCTTTTTGCTTGACTGGTAGAGACTCTGTAGAGTCTGCATTAGGGGACTGAGATACAGAGGAGGTAGAGGACAGCGGTTGAGATTCTGGGAGCTGCACAAGTGGAGTAGGTGGTGGCGATGCTGTTTGAGGCGAAAATATAGCTGTGGGTGATGATGGGAAGAGAAAGGGGAGAGTATTAGAGGAAGATGTGCTGGAAGGAAGGGGGCTCAGTCTGTCCTCATCATAGTCAACTGATGGAGGACGGATGTGTTCGCTGTAGTGGAAGACAGGAGCTGGGAGGTCCGTGGGAGACAGCGGAAGAGGGGGAGAGGAGGGTGAGCAGTGGTCCATTAATAGACTGGTACTGGGCGAGTGCAGACGAGAATGAGCACTCTCCACCCAGCGAGTGATTTCCTGGAACAAATCCCCAGTTTCCTCCTCTTCTTCCTCTGCTTCCTCCACCCTCACCTCTCCCAGGTCCTCCATGCTGCCACCAATGGGCTCAGCAGGCACAGGCAGTCTGCCAGTGTTACGCTTCCAGTGAGACAGATCCAGAATCAGCTTAGGCTCCGAGTAGTGCTGGGGCTTTCCCTCTCGCCATGCAATTTTATCCAGATATGAAGGAGAGCCCACCTTGTAATCGCAGGAGCGACCGCAGTCAAGTTCCCCGTATCCTAAAGCACAGACCCGCTCCAGAGACGAGTGAGAGCTCTCCAGGAAACGCTCAGCTGAACTGCTATGGGAATATTTGCGGGGGTCAACCTGTGATATGGTGGGTGAAGAGAAGAGAGATAAAAATCAGGTCAATCCTTTAGAAAAATATATTTCTACCTTCCCTAAGTAATCATATGCGTTGTCATTTTAAGACCGCAAATGTTTTTGTGGTCTTAAAATGATTTTATACTGATTTTATATGTGACAGACCAACACAAGGTAGATGACAGTTGCATAGCAGAATGAAAGTGATACATGGTTTATAAAATGTATTTTTATGAATAAAAATCTTGTTTCTAAGCTTTACTAGTAAAAACCTAATAAACAGTTTTCTGTTTCCTTCCACTACCCTATAAAATCCACCTCAAATGCATTTCATTTGCAATTCCAATGTAAAGAGGTTCAAAAAATGTGTGACAACATTAGTATCATCACTGTTGTTTAACAGAGTTTATCCTCAAGTCTCAACCTCAAACAAATTCATGAGCCCAAAAAACCATTACAAGCAAATTCATTGCTGATTAAGTGAGGAGAGTATTGATATGAGGAGAGTATTAATAGGAAGTTGGTTAATAGCACGTCTAACCTGTGCCTCTTCTGTCAGAGAGCTGGAACTGGCCCTGGGGTCCCGCTGCACCTCTTCATTATCTGTGGTGTCTCCTATGTCAGCTGGAATAGGACCAGAGGGCAAGCACCGACACCTCTCGCCTGAGTATGGTGCCCATATGTTGGTTGATAAATTGTTATCATACCTGCAGGCAAGGGATATTTTTTTATTCAATCTAACGATAATCGACACTTGCATAGAAATATTCTCATCGCTTGTTTTAGTACATGTTTTAGTGTTTTATCTGTTATGGCACTACCCAATAACACGTACAAGCTCAGACCAAAGGCATGCCAGTTGCACACACATTCATTATGTCACTTGTAAATCTGAATGAATTACGGTCATATTTTTTTTTTGTGTGTGTGTGTGTGTATTGTAAAAAATAAAAAAAAAGAGAATGTTCAACTGAAGATTATCAGCAACAGTACACACCCACTGTTGAATACACCTACAAACCAACAAGACTTTCTTTGTTCTTCCATTCAGATTTATAGAATGTGCATCGCAGAAGCCTCTTATCTGCAGCAATTAACTGACTCTCAATGTCAGGACAAGACGTTACACTAGTTCATAATGAATATGCTTTTTCCTCTTGTAAACAATTTCAGAAGACAATTTTATTTATTTCTTGCTCTTCTTAAGCAAAACATAAAAAAAATAAATGTGAGTTTCCACATTTCCATGAGCTTGTTTAAAAAAAAAAAAAAAAAATTCAATAGACTTGATAAAATTCTTCAGTCTCTTCATTGACAATATCATGAATGTCCTCCCTCGTGAAATTAAAATCCTCACCTTTCCCAGTGAAAGCTGGAGGCCTGACTGTCGCTGCTGCTCACGCTCTGCTCGGTGATGAGGCTGTCCAGCTCGTCCTCAATGTGGAAAGGGTGTGAGGAGACAGGCTCATCCTCAGGACAGGAGTACTGCTGAAGGAAAGGATGGGACAGAGCTTCTTCTGCTGTCAAACGGTCCATGGGGTTAAATGTCAAGATGCGCTCAAGAAAATCCACCGCTAAGAGGAAAAACAGGGAGAAACTGGTGAAGGAGAAGCAACAGGTAATGCGAATACTGCATTCCTCTGTGTGTCTTGAGATTAATTTAAAGACTATATTAATTTGAGTAAAACACATTTAAATCAAACCTTCAATCTAAGTCTATTTATTCCAAGAGGGGAAATCCTATGTTGTGTTTTTTATTTTTTAAGCAAAAGTAATAAAAGCCATTTTGTAGAAATTTCAGGAGTATCAAAAAATGAAAACAATGCTGCATATTTTAGTGCTTCTATGCCTCTTTGTACTCAGTTCTCAGTTAACTCCACTCACCCAAAGGATCCACTTCAGGCAACAACTCAGAGAAGGGTTTCTTGATTCTCCATCCATGACTGACATATGAAGGCATCACCTAAGAAAAGCAACATGGAAATACAGAAATGTTTTTTAAAACTAATGTGGGTTTCACTGGTTGTTTCCATCAAGTCAGCAACCAGCAGTGATCTATGAAGAGACTGTGGAGCCGCAGTTCTGTTTGCAATGTTTTATATTGTCTTCATTAAATTGTGAACATCTTGTAAAATAGCATTAACCCATTTGTCATGTCATTCTGTCTTTTCTTTGTTTTGTTTTAATATGGAGTCAGTTTAAATCAGTCAAAATATACAATAAAGCCCATTAAATCAGTTTAAATAAGCAATGTGGTTTCCAAATAGAGGGTTGTCAAACAATAATTAAACATTTATATGCACAATATGATACCACCAATATATACAGCAAAAGTAAAATGTGGCACATTTTAATTTACTTTTGAGTTGTAAATAAAAAAGGTGTTATATGCTCTAACTTATTTGTTAGATTAATGTTTATTTTGGTTTAGTCCAGTCCAGTGGATATATGTCTTTATCCATTTTGAAAAACATATTGACCTGTTTTATCTGAATTTTTATTACCATAATGGCATTCTAATTCCTTTTTATACCATTCAAAATAGTCAACCTGAAATCTTTATTGACATTATAGCACAAAATCCTTCTTCTAACTGCTAACCTGCTTTTTTTATGTTTCCATTTGTCATCTTTGGAGATTAGCTCCAAGTCTTAGAAGACCACATCATTTTTTTTTTCAAATTTATGTTGAGGCTCTGGCTGTATCATTCCAAAACTTTAGTATCAATTTCACTCAGACAAAACGTTAGTAAAATTAAGACTACTTTAAGCATGAACCTTCCAAGAATATAAATAATTTTGGTCTAAGCTGTACACAAAAACTGCAGTAATCTAAATGTGGTGTCAGTTGTAAATTTTTTCAGATACTTTGTGATAATAGGTTAGTTTCGCTTTTGCTTTAGAGTTAGTTTCTAGTTCTTCTCAGTCTAGAATTAAGGCATTTCTTCTTGAGTATTCAGTAGACGAAACAACATCAGTGCAAAACTACTAAAAAATGTATGGGCAGATTTTTAAAAAAATGTCTCCGTGGGACTGGAATGTGGAATTGATTAACTTTGATTTTACTCCAGGTATGATTATAGGAAGCTCTCAAAGTTCAGCTGTGGCATACAAGTTTAAACTGGTTTTAATCTTTGCTTCTTTAGAAAGGACTATAAATTGGTCCAAAATGCCCTCAGAGATGTTGTGTTTGCAGACATTCGCAAATGTCAGATTGCAGTTTTGTACCATTGCCCTGTGAGGTGTCACCTGTAGGAGATCCTGCCTGTCCTCCTCTCTCAGTACTGGCACTGTGTCGAGAATCAGCTGCATCTGTTCCAGCTCGTGAGCTCCTGGGAGGGAGGGCGAACCAATCAGGGAAAGGCAGAGAGGAGAAAAAGGTTTGGTTACATAAGCATAAAAAAAAAAACATGAAGTCAAATTAGGATAACCCAGAAGTGTGAGCAGACAGGAGACAGAAGACGATTCGATCTGATTGAAGCAGACAGGCTGCAGCACTTTGTAGCAAGCTGCTCGATTTTACTACTCTAACTTAAGATTTTATAGATTTTTTAATGTTCCGAGCTTGTTTGTAGAATCACATAGTCTTAGCCACTGAATCCGAGACAGAGCCAATGTTTTGTGTAGCAACAAAAATGTCTGAACTTGAAATACAAATACTTCAAGGACAACAGCAGGTGGTGCTACACAAACACTGCTGGATGTAAGTAATCAGCATATTTGGATGTGTGTGTTTTGTTGTCCCCCCATAAACAAAAACCAAGCGAGTCCACTGCTCTTCTGCTTCTTAGGAGAAAGTTGCAGCAAACGGCTCCGACACCTGATGTGTGAAAGTCTCACATAACACGAACAGCGGGGGAAGGAGAATGACCTTTCTGAGTTTCTGTGGTCGGCCCTGTGACGCAGAGGAGCCAGTGGAGGTCAGAATCAGCTGGTCAGCTGGAACTACGTCTGCTTTAGACAGACAGCATTTCTCCATTATCATTGTTATTCTGCTCAGGCAAAGAAGCAGCCCACAAGGAGGGAGAGAAGTGTATTTGGTGGAGGACAGAAAATAAAAAAATTGCTCCTCTCTGTGGAAACCACCAAAACTATGATAAAATCTAGAAAAAAATTGGATGGAAGCTAGAGACTGGTTATAAAGGAATCCACATTCATTCATGAATATGATTCTGTTAAAATATTAATGGTGCATCCGACAACTTTGACTGTATTACTGTTTTATTGAAGTCATTTGGTAAAGATTTCATCACAGTACCTGCAAACAGCATGCGTCCAGTGAGCATCTCAGCCAAAATGCAGCCAGCAGCCCACATGTCTATGGCCTTCGTGTAATTGTTGGGGGATAGTAGCAGACGGGGGGAACGATACCACTTAGTCACCAAACCCTCAGACAGATAGCCCTGAGGGGAGGAGGCAGTGGGAACAGAGAGAGGCATAAAGAATTTTGAGTTATACAACAGTAGAATATACATACGCTGAACTTAAACATTTGCACATTTTCTATCATTGCAACGACAAACATCATCATAACTGAATGGAATTTATGTGACAACACAAAACAGGGCAAAATTATGATTACGATGTAAAAGGAAAGCTTTCAAAATCTGAAAAACTGAACAGTGGGGAGCAATTTTGCAACCAGACCCTTTTGCCCTGAAATGCTACATAAAAACCACTGGACATCAAAAAACAGCATCATGAAGGAACATTGTCGTGTCAGGGAAGAATTCCCTGACATGACCATTTTATAATGGATCACTTTTCATTATGAAAGCAAAGTATTTAATCATTTTTAATAAGAATGAAGCATTTCTTTTTGTATTCGTAGGGTTTGTTTGTTGTATTCTTTATGGTGAAGTACTTTGGTGATTGGTGTAGACAGTATGGAGGTCTAGACCATGCTGTCTAAAAAAATAGATGTTTTTTTTTGTGAAAAATACATCTAAAAGGCCCTTTTTAATTTCAGAATCCAAACATATTTCTACACACTTTTCATGGATATGTAGGGTTTTTTGAGTTTTAAATAAAAAATAAAATTGTTTTTCAAAATGTATTTGTCAAATGAGCAGTTAATCATTGCAGGTCACTCACACAGTTCCCTAACCTTTACACGTATCTCTTTCTCAGTGGGGAACCTCTACAGAACTCAGCCTGACTCAAAGTTGTTCTGTAAAGTTTTCCAGGTCACCTTCTCTAGATGAAAATAAATCTTACAGAGACATTAGTGTTAAATCTTCCTTTCCCAGTCGTACAGTACAACTTAACAGCTGTAAATAAGTAACTACAGGTATTTTTGACAAGTCTTATATTTGCCTATCACATCTTACTGCTCTCTTTTAGCACCATTTTCTCTTGTGCCACCTTTGAGCCTTCTTTTTTCCCCTCTGGGACACTCGTCCATTTATTCCTGCTATATTCTGTCTCGACTTCACCTCTCTTTTCTCCTGTCTTTCCCCTCCCTCCTGTGTTCTTGTTTTTGCTGTAGCAGATAACCAAACTGAGCACTCTTTGACCTTGTCTCTCTCAACCCCCTGTGTTGATTTTTGTCTTTATCTGAGCTCTCACTGCTGCTTCCTGTCAGGCATATACTACATGCTGTAAATTTTAAGGAGATACTAAAATGAATAAAAGTGATCACATAGCAAAGGCCAAAGTAAAAAACACTGTTTTGTTTAAAAAAAAATTATATTCATAGTTTTCACACTATTTCAGAATACAGCTAAATTTGGTGAATATTTTAAGAATAAATATTTAAAACCTGCGTTGTGCACATTTACTTAGCTCTCAAAACTCTACAGAAAAAACTTTCAATGTAGCTGCAAATTTAGAGACTGAAATCTATTCTTTACACAGCAGCATAAGCTGAGCCAGAGAGGTTTTGCTACATATTTCCAACTAGATTTAGGTCCAAACTCTAACAGATGAATACCGTTTCACTGTAGCATTGTCAGTATGCGTATTGTCATGTCCTGCTGGAAGATGAGCCAAAGTCTCAGGTTTTCTTTCCATCCTCTTAGATATTTCTCACAAGACTTTCCTGAGCTCTGTCAATTTTCTCATCAACTGTGTCGAGACACCTGTACCTGCCCAAAGCATGATGCTATGAGAAAGTTTTAGTTTTCAAGCATTAACAGTTCAACCTGAAGTTTCATATCAGTCCCATCTGACCAGAGCGTCTACTTCTATATGTGTGCTATGCCTCCTATGCAATTTTTTGTCAGTGATTTCATGAATGGGTATCGGAGTAAAGAGGGATAAATACAAATGCACATCACATATTAAAAAAAACATTTATCTGTTCCTTTCTACCACACACCTTTGTAATATTTTCTTTTGATATGTCACATAAAAGTTTGTGTAAAAATATTTGAATACTTTACAAAGTGCAATCATCTTTTATCCTCAGGCTGTTTAAAACGCTGGTCAAACGGTGTTACAGCTACTCAGTAACAAAACTTTTTTCATATTCTCTCCTTCACCTCCTACTTTCCTCCCATTTGATTTGCTGGGACTGTTTTCACAGTTCTTCCTCTTTGTCTTCACAATTTGCAGGATCTCATTGTTGTTTTTTTACAGCTTTGCTTCCTTGCTCATCTGTATCTTCTTTGATTGTTGTCTTGCACCCAACATGTGAGAAACTTCTTTTTATTTTTTTAGACCTTTTTCCAACTTCCTTCTTTCTGTCTTTCATTCGAGTTATGAACAATTTCAGGCATCTTCAACACTCTCTCAGCGTGTGACATTAACACCCACATTCACAGAAGCACCAAGTTCTTTACAGTGTAGGATGTAAAGAACTTCATCTGTTTCTTATATCTGTCCTTCATGTTAGCTGCCTGAACAGGCTGTTTTCTAACAAAACATGCAGTAGAACACAGGGAACCTTGTTTCTACTCCTTTGCATAACCAAATAAATTGAATTTCAACCAATTTTTCTCTCTGAGTGTTTTTGAGCCTTTTTTCATTTTCCTTTTTGTTCATTTTGAAGGATTTGTTCCCCCTCTGCCTCTGCACTTTTCACCTGCCTTTTCCCCAAGCCTTTTTGGTTTAAAATTTCCCATCCTTGCTTCTCATGTACTCAGCATACCTTCCTCCTCTACTGCCCCCTCCATCCTCTCCCTCTTTGCTCTCCCAATGCACCCCTGTGTCTGCACCCAACTGATCCCAAAGTCCCAAGCCCTCAGTTGACAAAGATTTCCTTTCAGGAGAGCACCTCTTCACACGCATAGGCCCGAATCAAACCTCGCAGAGACACAAACGAACACACATGCAGACTTGCTAGTGTTACAGTACTGCTGTGGGACCTTTGAATGTAAGAAAGCTGGACAATGGAGTTGTGAATTGTCCCATTAATCTTTCAGGTGTTTTTATGTACAAGCTGACAGCCTAATTGCAGAGCTTGATTAGTGCAAAACTTGACACCATCTCTGGAGTAGGAGCAGAGTTTGGGTATAAGAGGAAGTTTCATTTGAAGAGATAAGTAATCTGAGAGAGCAGAAATAATGGTGAGTAAATAATACAGCTTTGCTTGCACATCATTTGATACGAAAGTTTTCTAGAAATGATGACTGAAATCAAAGTCTCTGTCCTTCTAAAAGGCAGAATCAACCCAATGACATCTTGATACCACTAGACTAAGGGGAACAATGAGTCAATACTTTGCAAAAATATTAAGTTGCCCTATGTTGTCTATTTACAACCAGATTTGTGTCATTTATGCTTTGCAAAAGTTCAGACTCAGTGAGATAAGAGAGCCAGTGTATGTTAAATTTTTTTTAAATGATGTTCCCGGAAGACAAGCCTCCTCCTCATTCTCAATTCTTTTATAGCTGCATTGTCTTTCAGGATTTGATCCATGCATTTCCACATAAATTATGACCACTGTCCCAGCTAAAGATGATGATGCTACCACCCTGTTTCACCATGGGGACAGTGTGTTCAAGTTTGTGCGCAGTTTCCATTCAGTCTTTCTGTTGAAAAGCATCTATCCATCATTTTCTAAGTCAAGAAATGGTCAAGCGGAACTTCCCAGGCAACAGCCGAATGTTCGTCTTCAGACACTTTCATGCCTGTGGAGTGTTGTTAACTCCACAGCCACAGAAAATCACAGAACATAAAAAGTCCTCCCGGCTCTCCAGTAAATGTATTCTGGTTCAGGACAATAATAGATCCTTCATCTAAATGTTTGCTATGAACAACTTTATTTTTGTTACTCTTTGCAACGTACTGCAAAGTTTATGTTGTCAGAGAGTTATGAGGAGGATAGAATGTTTGTGCAACCATGCAAGCAGTACAGTTTATGCACTGCTACACAGAAAAAAATTTTAATATGATACTGTCTAAAAAATGCACAATCAGTTTCTTGATAGCAACCCACTCTAAATGAACTGGAGAAGAGATAGCATACACAAGTATTACAATTATCTCTTTTAATTTATTCAACAGCTGCAGAGAGCATAAACCCTTAAATCTACTGACTTGAATATTTATGTAATACATTATTTTGCAACAGGAAGTATATAAATATAACACTTCAAAACATTACACATTCAAAGGAGATAATAGAAAGATACAATGTTTTGATGTTCTTGTTTCATCCATGTTGAGATGGTTGATTTACATAATTATTCCACAAGATTCAAAAACAGCATTTTCTGGCATCCAAACTTATCAACTTTACCCTTCAGCCACGCACAAGAAACACAATAGTATGCAAATCTGGGACACCAAAAGAGATAAGTGTCTTATCAGAGGGCAGTTCAATATGTGGAGGCAAAGATGGAGTTATGCTAACAACCTCTAAACTGGTAAATGTCTGTTTTTCCTCCATATCAACAGCTGCCCCGTTTTAGAGATACAATTATAAATTTCCATTTTACAGTGAAGCATAGAAATATGAAGATCTACTGCAAGGTATTTGGAAACATCTCAGAGGCAGAATCCCGGCTACAAGTAAACCATCATCAGAATGTGTGGCAGTGGGGCTCTGCTTGTTTAACACTCACCTTATGAGAATAATGGGGGTCCACTATTCTGGCAAGTCCAAAGTCTCCGATCTTGAGCAGCATTTGGTCTGTGTTGATGAAGATGTTGGCAGGCTTCAGGTCTCGGTGGAGGACATTGGCTGAGTGGATGAACTTTAGGCCCCTCAGCAGCTGATAAAACAGCAGGGTGGCATGACCTGTGTAACAATAAAAGTTAGATAATTTAACAACTCAGCATCTAAAAGTAAGGTAGATAATTTCCACTTTTTAAATTATCTTTACATATCACCTTTCGTGAATGAATTTATCTGAACATGATCCATATAACCCATACAAAGTTAAATTATGGGTTAATTTTATATATATGTACTAGATAGATAGATAGATAGATAGATAGATAGATAGATAGATAGATAGATAGATAGATAGATAGATAGATAGATAGATAGATAGATAGATAGATAGATAGATAGATAGATAGATAGATAGAGATAGATAGATAGATAGATATATAGATAGATAGATAGATAGATAGATGATAGATAGATAGATAGATAGATAGATAGATAGATAGATAGATAGATAGATAGATGCTTTATGCATCAATGTAAATCCTACAGAATAAATGTGTCATGTTATGTAGATTGAAGAGAACACAAATGCAGAGAGGCTAAAACGGAGAGTAGTTATGAATTTTTAATTTTAAAAAAATTATCAACAACACTTTTAAAATATCACAGGGAACCAAAGCAACCATGAACAGGGACCAAGGGAAAAAAAATAGCAAGGAGTTATTACTTACAAATTACTTATTTTCATTAGACCCGTTAATTAAATGAACAATTGATTGTTCTCTCTTACTTGTAGGTAGTGGTCCCTGGTCCAGTAACCGGGCCAGATCGGTCTCCATGCACTCCTGGATGATGTACAGGGCACTAAGCTGGGATGGGTCCTGGGGCAGCGGCCATCCATATGGTGCTAAGACCTCGTGGACACTTACTACGTTCTCGTGGTGCAATCGTTGGGTGATCTTTACCTCCCGCAGGGCATGCTTCACTGTGATTGCATCTCGCATTGACAGCTTTTTAATAGCTACTCGCTGTCCAGTACGCTGGTCGACAGCAGACAGTACCAGCCCGGTGACACCGGTGCCAAGAGGTCGAGGGTCAACAAAGTGACCACTGAGTTCGAAGCCATGGAGAAACAAAGGGGTGGCCTGGCTGGCCATTGTAGCTCAGTTTGAGGGGATAGGATTGTTCTTGTTTTGTACAGAAGATGTTACATTTTGCTGGTGAATCGTCTTCTGCACTTTCTATCGGAACCTACAGTGTGCAAATGTATTTCTTGTTGTTAAGGCCTCATATACTCCAAAATATATTGGAAACGTCACAACCTCATGAAAAGAGATGTGCTGCAGCAAAAATAAGACATATCTTTATCTCCTTCTGGCAATTCTCACATCAGATCTGTTACTCATCTTAGCATAAACAACAAAGCAATAGGAATATATCTTTGTTGCTGATGTAATCCAAAACAAGAAGAGCTTGAGCTAAAAACAGAACTTCTGAACTTAAAGGAATCAAAGGTTTGGTTTTGTCAGTCATCCTTCGGTCTCACGTGTAAGCCTGTGGTGGTAAGGAATCCACAGAAAAGGTTTAAAAATATCACTTTCTCTTCAGCATCTTCCTCTTGACACTTGATTTTTTTTTTTTTTCCTTGTATGGCTGCAGGATACAAAAAAATGAAGCTTTCTCTGTGTCTCTCAGATGTGAATGTCAGTTAGTCTTTTTTTAAATAAACCAGGGCATGGGTAAGCAGAGATATGCAAGCAATGGGTGAGGCTAATTCTACTGAAAAACGCCAACACATTGTGGGACAGTCAGCTTTGCAATTTAAAGCTTTCCAAGACTTTGATGGTGAGACAGGTGGAAAGAAGGCGGGGTCAGCGGCAGTACATTCAGCGAGCCTCTGTTGGCTCCTCCTCTTCTTCCATGATGCTTTTAGAGTCTCTCAGTCAGTCAGGGAAGTTCATTCAGATCAGCTGGATGGAAGTTAAATCCCGGAACCCCCTGTGTTTGCATGTGCACACATGTGCATGTGTTTAATCCCCCAGTAATCTTCTTTCTGTTGCCTTCTCATGAATGTAGGGCTTTCAGCAGCAGGCCGTGGTCAAACAGAGAACATCCTGCACAACACATCTGCTACTTCTCCGTCTTCTGCTGGTGGGTAGAAAGAGGAGAAATGGGGTGAATGGAAAGCCGAGACTCTCAGACGGTAGATGAAAGTTAAACAGCGAGTGGGTCTGTTAAAGAGTAACTGTTACATAACATCAAACAGCACCGTAATCTAATCCACGCAAGTGACTTGGTGTTCTCAGTCAGGAAGTACAGTCATGTCAGCTGCAAGCAAAAGATGCATCAATCAGGTTGTTTTTTTATTTTTTTGGGGGAAAACTGTGTCGAGATGCATATTTTTTTAAATGTAATCAAGAGCATTCACATTTTTCAATAATTCATTAAAAAATGTCTTCTTGCAATAAAAGTCATTAAATTATTTACATTAAGAACAGGGGTGATGCAATAAAAGCTCAAGAACCTGGATAAAACAGAGCAACTTTGCTCTGAAGCATTGCGTTTTTCTGTTATCTGGGAACATCTGGGAACATCCCCACATAGTTTCTAGATGTTCCTAACACTTTTTTCTTTCTCTTACTTCATTGCATCTACTTGGTCCTAAAAATACCATCTTTATCAGACATTTTTACTCAGATTAGACACCAAACAGCTTCAGTCATGTATATCATTTAGTTGGAGTGCATTCACTGACTGGGAAGTTATTCGATTTTTTTGTTTCCTGCTTACCAATCATAAGTCTGGGCCAGACAAGCTGAAAATCAGCTGACTTTAGTCAACAGAGGGTTTTTTTTGGCGCATCTCCATTTTTTCCTACTGCTTACACTTAAAAGCAACACTTCAGTTTGACCAAATGGAACAGATCATACAGCTTGTTTCAACCAGCCTGCATTTTAAATCTATCAGACACTTTTGTGTTTCTTCCTGCTTCCAGAATCTGTGTTGCCCCCCCATCTTCTGATTCCTTCGCTATAACAGATCCAACTAATTTATTTAGCTTGAGTGCAAATGCCTCTGCCTGAACCCCTGTTTGGAAGATGAGGGTCAGGTCACATCAGTCTTTTTTTTTCTTTCTAACAACAGCTTCTCTTAGATCATGCTCACTCAGGCAGACTGCAAGAGGCTGCAAAATTGTAAGGTGAGAACAGAGAGCATTGATGGAGGCAGTGGAGCTGGGTGGGAAGTGCAGCACTGGGGTAACTTTATAAATAATGCATAATCACTTGCAACAGCGGTTCCTGCTCCCTTCAAGCATTTACTCCTCATGATTCTTCACGTTACTCTGCAGCTAAACCCATTTTTAATTTTGCAGAATCTGAAAGCAGACCAAGATGCTCCAGAAACAACAAAGGCGGAACAAGTAAACTGGCTTTAAATGAAATTTATAGTCTGCTTAAAAGCAGGAAATGAAGCCCCACCTGCCAATATCCTTAATATATTTGACAGCGGGATGAGCAGAAACAATGCTTCATGTGTTGCTTTCTCAGCTGCATTTTCTCCCCTCCCCTCCATGCTCTGTTTACTTTCCATGCTGCGCTAATGCAGATTTACTTCAGTTGATAAAAACGCCGCATCTCCTCTGAACACCGGCTCTGTGCAGCTGCCTTTGTGTCCACATAGTGACGCCCCTCTGACGAAACAAAAACACCGAAAGTGCACAATAAAACAAAGAGCCTCGTTTCCCAGAAAGAGCAGAAACAGCCCGTGTGCCTCGTTTCACTGTTTTACGCGTCTAGAAATCTTACCCAAGTGAGTGTTTTGGTGTCTGTTTCTATTATTATTATTTTATTTTAGTTTTTGGGGTTTTTTTTTGTTGTTTTTTTTAAAGAATGAGGGGAAAAATAGAATCAAAAGATAAATCAACAGCAACCATCTGTACTCACAGAGGCATTACGCAGCCGCAGCCTCCCGTCCAGAAACAAAGATCCGGAGGAAAAGATGTGACAGAGAAGGATCCTTGTGAGCGAAGAAAGTGAAACACTTGTCCATTTCTCTCTCTCTGTCTCTCTCTCTCTCTCTTTTTGTCGCTCGAGTGAAAAGTGAGATGTGGACGATTTATGAGCGGAACAGTCAGCAGGTGCTGGACTGGCACTGGACGAAGCGATCCGATCCGATCCTCCGAGATGAGATGATATGAGATGAGATAAGCCAGCGGCCGCCACAGAGCCGGTTACTGTGGGCGAGTGTCCGCTCTCTGTCAGCGCTTCAGAGGGACGATCTGGGAGGGGAGGAGGCTGAGTGGAGAGGGATCCCCCACCAGAGCCAGGCAGCAGCCTTAAGATGCTTCAAACTCACACACACTGCAGTATGAAGGCGCTTCCTTCATGTTAACAGCATTCACTATAATATAATAATGACTCCCACCCCCTTTCATTGGAACTGACCATTGTTAAGTCTGATTTTGAAACCACCCAGGAACTCCAGACGCCCCCCTCATCCCCAGGTAAACCTGCTTTATGTGGTTCAAACTCGCTGAGGTCTACAGATTGAACCTAAATAGAAACACACATCCCCACACAGCCAAACACCCCCACTCCTTTACAATTTGTAAAACAGTTTCCTACTTCTGATCAAATAATTTGTCAAAAGACTGAGAAATATTAAGATGCTCAGTGTTAGTTTTGTAGTTTGCAAAAATGTTTTACGACTTAGGCCTACCCAACTAAACATTTTATTCATCCTTTTTTCTCAATTTAAGGAGGTCCCAATGTAAAAAAAAACAAAAAAACTTAAAAATATTTCTTTGTATCTCCATCTCCATATTGAAGAGTAAAGGTTTCTTCGGTATTAAATTAAAATTTTGCTTTAAGAAAAAAGTTTTGGTTTGGCCAAAGTACTTTGGATTTAGATGGTCAAATGTGTTCCTAACTTTTCATTTTTTATTATTTTATGTGAAAAGTCAATGTTTCTTACAATCCTTACATGGTGCAAAAGATGAAGGAAGAGCACAGCTTCCCATGATTTGAACATGCAAACAGTAGAAACCTATTGAATAAGAAAATATAATTTAAAATAAAGAGTTCTAATGGCAATACTCTGGGACATTATGCCACCCTGTTTGAAGGGCTGTGTTGATCACATTTTTGTGTTGATCACATTTTTCACTTATGGGTTTTAGAGTTGGGGATATGCAAAGGTGATTGAGAATGCCTAATTCCAAATTATTTTATTCTTCTTATCTTGCAATAAGTTAAGACGGGGGTCTTACTGGTGGAGAAACACAACAGTTGTAACAAATGTTCACCCATTAATTCTGATACATCAAAATCCAGTGCAACTAGTTGCAATCTGAAGTCACTAACCAATTATGCAATTACTACATTAATCCACAAAACTTGAGACATTATTGAGCGGCAAGAAGACAGATAAAAAAATAGCAAGTCTATTGAATGTTTGCCACAAATCACATAGAGAGCACAGCAGGTCATTTCAATTCAATCACGCATACATTCCATATGACCCGGTTATCAAACAGTTCAATGAGTTCAGTTTAGTGATCAAATTGGTTTTAAAAAAATTACCAAGTTATTTTATCTAAATCATCGAGTCATTGACTTGCTGCAGCTTTCATGCTTCCTGGATGAGCATGCTGTGAGCCTCCAGCAGGTCCTGGCTCAGTGTGAGCAGCCATCTGCCACATCTGACTCGGGGGTTTAGAAGACACTGAATCTTACCCTCGAACCGGAAATGCAATCGAATGGTTTGTAAGAAAGTATGTTACGTCAGTTCTTATGTGTTCCTACACACTCTTCATCCAATCTGACAGACTTTAATGCTGCTTTGCAAAGAGAAATGGACAAACATTTCAGCTTCAAGATGTACAAAAGTAGATAAGACATGCATCTTCAAAGTATCGACTAAGGGAGACTGACTACATCTGCACATATTACAGTTATACATTATAATGTGTTGGTCTGTCACAAAAACACAGAAGTTTGGTATTATGACAGAACAACATCTTATTTATCTGTGATGACCACCTTTCTGATAACAAAGTGGTGAATTCACTCAATGTGCTTCAGTGTGTGGATATGCAATTGAAATTGCAAAATATATAAATTATTTATTTTTTATTTTTAGTCATAGCAAAAGACACTTACTATATACCCAGTGATCTGCAGCCTCCTAAATTTAAGCATTGTCGATTTTAAATAATTATTTCAGACTCAGGACTTTGTCATTTCCCATGTTGATTGTGTATTACTTTGTGTTTTCTTACTTTTGTGTGAGTACTCCTGAAAACTCTAAAGACATCGCCTGGAATTCTCTGCTGAGGTTGAAGGGACAGCAACAGGCGAACAGCAGAAAGCTTTGCCAATGTTTGCTGTGTCTCACTGTCACACCGATCTGGTGATTTCTGTGTTTGGTGGGTTGGGATTTAAATGAGCTTCATCATAGAGGAAACAAAAGAAAAAAAGGAGGTCAGGCTGAATATAAAAATGATTCCCAAAAGATGTTACATCTTCAGGGATTGATGAAGAAGAGAAAGGCTGCAAAGGTAACATATTCATGACTCACCTAATACAATGAGCTGTCTGTGATATTATCATGAGGGGAGTGGAGGAGAATGACAAGACAGGCTCTGGAGGTTTCATTTCACTCAGCCTCATTATTTTTTTATTTAACCATTACCAATTAAGATGAAACTGAATGAGTGTCATCAGAAAGTATGCTGTACTATTGAATGATAATACATACAGCTGTATACACTACATTACTATACAATATGACTATATGGGTACTTAATCTCAAATTAAACTAACCTAATGAAAATGACAACCTCTGAGCAGGTGCCTCTCTCTAACTTTCTGTATATATATATATATATATATATGTGGTGTGTGTGGGGGGGTGTGTGTGTGTGTGTGTGTGTTTCAGTGTTTGCATGCTGCTTTATATTTTGAAATGACTGGCAGCAAACACATACAGCAAGAAAAAAATAATTATTATTTGCTGATTCTGGTCAGCAGAGCAAAAACGGTTCTGTTTGTGTTTGCTCACCCTTCTGCTTAATAATGTGGCACAATGATCTGATGGATGTTACAACAATGCTAAGGCGGGATTGGTCAGTGGATTTGTTTTGATTTTGTAGAGGGGGGGGGGGGGGGATTTGCAGAGAAGAGGGTTGAAATTAAAGATATTGTTCATAAGCAGGTGTGATCGCTTCTATTTCACACAGTATCCCTACCCTTTATCAGATGTGCTCAGAGAAAATCTGGTTGGCTCATAATTCTCCCAGTGTGCAGTTTCTTTTAGATCTTTGTATCAGGAAGACATGAAACAGGTTTACAAATGGCATGTAGATTTAAAATTAATAAATTCTTCTGTCGATATCAGTTTATTCTCATCTTCTATGACAGCAAGAGAGTCACAAAACCTCTCTCTCCCCAAAAGATAAATTCAAAGTGAAAGATTGCTGCATTCTTTCACTTAATTTACAGTGGAGATTAAAAGTGTATATATATATAAATAAAGTCAGTTTTCTCTAATTATGAAAACACAATAAATCTTTTCGAAGCATTTTTAATATCTACTCATTCATTTTTTTAAACTAAAATCTGCTAGGGTTAAAAAAGGACAATAGGTAAAAAACTTCTATGTAGCATTGGTTTATACTCATTGAAACACTTTCAATAGTCTTAAAATCTTTAAGCATTCACTTGATTTGTTTTTTGGGGATGTTCACTCTGTTCAGGTGGATTTGGGGAAGTGGAGGAAATGATGAATAGTTCAACATTTAAAGTTAAAAGTGCTTTGCATGATAAAAAATACAATTCAAAAAATACAAAAACAGAAAATCATGGATGTAAATCAACAAAAGAAATAGAAAAAAAATCTGTAAATTAGGAATTGAAAAAAGAAAATAGAGTGGAGAGAACTGAAAAGGTGATAGGGAATAAAGCATAAATGAGACATGAGGTCTTATCTAAAGGTTGGAAGGCTGGTGCTGCTGGAGAAAATGTGGATGATGCCGTGACTCTGGTCTGTTTCAGTCTTTGTTCTCAGTGTCTCTGGTGTAGCTCTGTTCCTCTTTTGTGGCTGCCCTCTCTAATTAACACTGATAGCGTCTGACAAATGGAAACATCACAGTGTCAGCTGTGGGTGGCTATTTCCAGAAACAGACACACACTGGCTCCAAATAATAGGAGGGACTTGTTCCAGGTCTTGGCAGTGTGTGATTATTACTTTGGGTACATCTCCTTAAAATAACTAAAGAGGAAGAAAAAATTAAACACTTATAAAAAATACCATTGCTGTGCTTTTTGGAATGAAAAAAACCCAACCAAACAAAAAAACAGGCTCAATATTTTTACGCCAAATATGTCAAAAACAAGATCACAAGGTGATGCTCTTCAATCTGTTTGTCCAGAGCAAGGAGTTTGATGCTTGTTTGATCTAAAAGCTTAGAGATTTGAAACAAAACTAACAGGTTCAACACAAATCCAGGAACGGGATTCAGTGCAGCTGTGCGTGTCACAAAGGAATTCTGAATATGAATGTGCTCAGATGTGTGCAAAGGAACACAAAACTGTGGTCCTGCCCTTTTGTTTATCTCCCTCCGGCACAAAGTGTGCAGCAGCACTGCAGTCGTCCCCTCCTCAGGTTACTTCCCTTCACAAGATCCCAGCGTAAGTGGGAACAGAAATAAATAAATTAGAGGTCAGTGATGGCATCTGGCTCAGTCTGTGCATGTCTGTGAAGAGCATTTTTCCCTGTGAGCTGATGGCACAAAGTGGGAAGGAAAAGGGGCCACATCTGTTGGTGTGCAGAACTGAATCATAAGGGAATAAAAAGAGTTACAATGGCAAATTCAATGCCTGAACCATGATGCCATTTCTAGCTGTAAGACATGTTTTGCTATAAAATATTTTCAAGGTTGGAAATGCATGGAGTGATACATAAAAAAAAAAAAAAACACACACACACACACACACACACACACACAAAATAGAAACCCAAGATGCTCCAGGGGTAAATATAGAAAGAAAAAGCAAATCAAGTATCAAATTAATTTCAGGCTTGATTAAAATCACTATCAGTATTAGCATGTGGGCGACTGCTAGAGATTTCCTTTCAAATCAATATAATCGATTTACATTTGACTTAGGAAGCTGTTTTGGTTTTCTGTAAGATGATTTTAAGACATATAATATATAGATTGTACACTTAGGAATAGTTTGTAAATTAAATCCCCAAATTCACAAAGACTCACAAAATAAAATTTTTTCTTAACACTGACTTAGGCAGCTATTTTTAAAACAGAGACGTTAGCCTATGGAAAAATATATCTGTTCACTCCTGTGCAGCATCGGTAATCAATACTTGGCTGGGTTGTTTTTTTTTCTGCATTAATTACTTCATCAGTGCAGCAAGACCCCAGGGCCACCAGCTTGTGGCCTTGCTGAGGAGTTCAGAAAGTCATAATAAACTTCAGCTGATCTGCATCAGAGGGCCTGTTGCGTTTCTCATCTGGTCAAGCAGTCAGTTGGGCAGGCATGAAATCTTTTGGAAGGGAGGGGACCGACTTCAAACTATTCCACGTCTTCTGAATCTCTCATGAACTCTTCTATTTACTTTATTTTAAAATCTCCTCAAACTTTGAGAAATTGTCATGTTTACTCCTTTTTATGAAAATGTTTTAATCCTATTTTTTTTTGAGTCAGTTTTAACCATTTTCTTTTATTTGATTGTTCACTGTGATGAACACAAGAAACACCTTCCATTCAGAGCATTTAGCTGCTCTGTTGTGAAGCAGAATGACCATATTTGGCAATCACATACACTACCGTTCAAAAGTTTGGGGTCACCCCATTCAGTACTGTAGCTTCTGTGAGGAGCTAAACTGTTTTCAGATGTGTGCACATGGTTGCACAAGGGTTTTTGAAACATCAAATAGCCTTCTGAGCCAATGAGCAATCACACTGTACCATTAGAACACTGGAGTGATAGTTGCTGGAAATGGGCCTCTATACACCTATGTCGATATTGCACCAAAAACCAGACATTTTTAGCTAGAATAGTCATTTACCACATTAGCAAAGTATAGAGTGTATTTCTTTAAGGTTAGGACTGGTTTAGAGTTATTTTCATTGACAAGTACAGTGCTTTTAGTGACATTTCACTGTGACCCCAAACTTTTGAACGGTAGTTTATATTTTTTATTGTTAAAAATAAATACAGAGGGTGTGTATAGATATGCATGTAAATATTGTTTAGCTTTTAATTCCCTTGAAGTTTATGCATTTATATTTGACATCTTTGCTCTGAGCAAACAATCTTATAAGCTGTTTGTGAAGAAATCAGCAGGTAGCTGAAACACACGTTGAGTGATCATTTGATGGAAACATGTATAGTTACTTTGTAAAGCAAATATGTAAACCTAAGAAAACTGTATATTCGGAGGTTGTTTTGTTGAAGAAAAAAATGCTTATATTTTGTATTGTTATATTCCCACGTTTAATTAAATTCAGAGTACATTAGGCACAGCCCTGCAGGTCAAGTCATTGTTTTGGCTCTGCTGCACCTCCTACTGGATTTTCTTTGTTACTGCAATTCAGTTCAAAACTGATGAGATTTTATATTTCTTTTTAAGCTTTACAATTTTATGTTAATAAAGAAGAGCAATACTAAAAGTTAGAGATCAAAAATTTATGTAGTGTACTGAATAGAGGGATATGTAAATATGAGTGGGAGACAACACAATGACAGTCTGCACATACAAATAAATATCAGCTTAAGATCACAAAACTGACATTTTGTTTTAGTTCTGAACTAAAGCTTGCTGAACTCTTGCATTGACGGCCCTCTAATTGGCTGACTAGTGCTTCCAATGAAGTCTGACTGTGGACTGCTCAGGAAGTTCCAAGAATGCCAAGTTATAGAATACAACTTGTATTTATTTATTTGTTTTATCTTTGTAAACAGTGACAGGGCTCATGTAAGATGACTAGTCATCATCTGTCTACGTCACCATGTGGGCCTCTTATCAGCCGAGTCAGGAGGTTACAGATAAAGACTGTGTCACGCTTAAGAAACTCGGTGAGCATACTTTTTTTTTTTTTTTTTTCAAGCAACACACTTTCTTTTAGAAAGAAAACTTCTAAAGCTGATAGTGAAGAAATCAGCAGGTAGCTGAAACACACTTTGAGTGATCATTTGATACAAACATGTAGAAATTACTTTGCAAAACAAATATGCAAAACTGTATATTTTTACATATTTGCAAAAACATGTAAAAATATACTTTTTTTTACATATGTATATTTTACTTCAATGTTACTTCAAAGGTAACATTTAATGTTACCATTGAATGTTATTTCATTCAATGGTAACATGTCACAGTTTTTAAGGAAAATCTATAGCCATTGAGTGGAGACAAAACAACAACAAAAAATCAACATTGTGAAATATTTACCCTTTTAATTTAGAAATATAACAAACATATTAAGATTTTCCATACAGTTAAGTGACGAGAGAAATTCATGTTTTTTTTCCCCCCATTGAATTTGATCCCTAAATAAGACAATAAACCCTTTGGTTAACTATCACAAACAACTTCAAAGATATAATGACGCCATTTACTAAGGTACATTCACAGAATAATGTCCTTTGAAGGATTATCTACACGATGCAGAAGAGTGAGAAGGGTTAAAGATAAACAAGTTAAAGATAAACATGTATTTACTGAGAGCGAACTGTGTTTGCTTTCAGTAAATAAACTTCAAACAAATTCAAACATTAAAAAAAACTGAATTTCTTAATTTGTTTGCAACGAGACATGTAGACATCACAAGTAGCTCTACTTCATGGAAAGTGAACTGAAAGTAGATGCATTCAAAGTAATAAACCTACATGTATGGAGGTACATATCATTTTGTTATAGTTTGAGGAGGCATGCTGTCTTATAATCCCCTTCAGAATATGGCAAGACTTGCAGGTACGATTATTGAGACAAACTTTAGATTTGTAGAAGGAATTGATTGTTGTTTACAGTGCAGAGGAAGCAGTCTGCAGACCCCTTTGAGGAAAAAGAGGAGGGACTTCCAGGAAGCGTCTCAGGCATAAAGAGGCTCATAGCCACTCCTCCTGCCGCTTCTACAGGTTATCACACAGACGCTCAGCATCCCAAAGAACTGCAACGACACGGGATAAATAATCTTCAATCTAATTTATAAATACAATTTAATACAGATATTTACATACAGTGGAAAACACTTACTGATTTTATAGAATTGTCCACTAAGCTAAGGCAAAGTTTTTTTTTAAGGGGTGGGGGTTCATTTGTGTATTAGAAGAACATAAAATTGCTCATTATTAAAGCATTTGGCAAATGGAAATGTTTTTGGCAATCATATCTTACCACATTGAAACTGACAACACAGTGTAATAAGGACAATATTTCATTCAGATGTTTTATGCTTGAAGTAATTGGAATTTGCCTTTCTTAGAAGAAAAATCTCTTTGAAAAGCATAATCTGATCAGTGGAGTGTGTAACAGCCGTAAATGACTGGGAGAATGCCACAATGGCCCCTTTTTGTTTTAAGAGTAGATGTTGACACAGCTGGTATTGTACATGAGGCTTTTGAGATGCGTACTATTTAATTTGCCAACTTCCATTCTGGAGAACTTCCAGTATGGATGGTGTTCAACACTGACAAGCTGACATCTGAAATTAATAAGGCAACAAATCAAAGTACTTAAAAGGCGCAATAATGATTTGTCCGTGATGGATGTAAACATGCTGTATATCTATATGCATGAAAAAGCTTATTTCACAGATGAACTGTAGGTTACCTTGATGATGGCAAACGCAAGGATGACCAGCATGGCATAATTCAACGCATCATGCAGGAACTTCTCCACTTTTACCACACAACCCTAAAAAACAAAGACAATGAGTTTGTATTAGAATCTACCTAAAGAGAGTCATAGATACCTAAATAGAAATCTGCACAGATAAATGAGCTGGAGATTCAATTCGAATACTTTTCAACAAACCCTGATTGTCGACTGGCAGGACAGAAATTCAAAATCAGTTTTTGTGGAGGTATATTTGGAGAAAACAAAACATGTGTAAGTGCTCGTAGTTTACGGTGACACCTACATATTTGGATGTGGATTTGTCTGTATGAGGTGTTCCAAAATGAAGTTGGAAGAACAGAAATGTAAGAACCCATTTAAAAGGAAATGGTATTTTCTAAGACAGAGCATGCCACTGTGTGGAGGCCTGCCTTTTAGAGAGAGCAAAACATTCATTAGGTAACAGGAAGGTTGAACAAGTACGATCTGGAGCTATTGGATGTAAATATAAGGCTCAACATTTTGTAGGGAATACACAGTTGTTTGTTTTACTGATGCTAATTTCATTAATCACATACATAAGATGCTAACGACAGTTGAATATGTAACGCAGTTTTTTTTTTTAGCAATTGTGCTTTTAAGAGAAGCCTGAATCATCATCAGTGGGTCATAACTTTACAAAACAAACAAACAAAAAAACCCACAGAAGTCATAAATCAACTTCAAAACTGACTGTTGCAACTCTAGTAGCAGATTTAGTTATTTTACATTAAAGTATACAGCTACTGAAATATTCTTTTTCATAATACAAGATGAAGTCTGATCTAATCTGCAATGTCAATAAAAAAATAGAGAAAGAAAATACATAATTCAGAGAGAGATAAGGGCACAATCAGGAATGACTGCATGCTTACTGGTGGATTGTAACGTTTGTGTTTGATTTACCTCTTGATAAAACTGGCTTGGTGTGGTGCCGTTACACTGAGTTGCGTTTATGCAGCAAGACGGAGGTACAGTTTTGTTTTTTTGGTACCAGGGGGTGTTGTACCAGCTAGTGTAGTTGATGACTCCACAGCACTTCAACTGCAACAACAAAAGAAAATTAATTTGCATGTACTTACTTCCACAGGTCATGTACTACTGTTTTTGACAAACAACTGAGATAAGTATTGCAAATGGGACACAAGTATTTGTCTCTCTATATTAACACAATTGTGAAGCAACATTGATATCATCAGTCAAGTCATATTTATTTTTGATAAATGCATCCTTACATCTCTCTTGCCTAAATACCTTTTCTGGATGACAAGTCCAGATAAGGTATTCTGGGGAGGCTCAATAGTAACAATAATTATTCATGAACACTAATATGGGTTCCCAGAAGAAGGAAATGCAAATGGCGAGAACCAAGGGAGGAAATGAAACCACACGGAGAGAGAACGCAGAGCAAAACAGATGTAGATGTGTTTGAAAGTAGAGCTGAGAGAACAAGACTATTTATGTGGACAGCAAGACAAACCTGAGACTGCAGATCATTCACAGCTTTGGACTCGAGATTGCTTCCATCATACTTTACAAAGGTGTCATTCATAGAGCGCTCCAGCTCCTGATTTATCTGCGCTGTCTGCAAGACGCAAAGTAGAAAAAGTGATCTCAACAATAGGAACTAAAGTGAAATACATTTATAAAGTAGAAAAATAGACACATAAATGTGGTCATTAGAGAGATTACATTATTTTTGACTCACTTTGCTTTGGTAAATGAAGATAAACACCAAAGCAGTCACTTCAGCTGCAAAGACTATCACGATAACCAGAAAGAACTGCAAAAAGGGGAAACAGTTGAAAGAAATTAGAATGTCAAAATTGTTAAACATAGTGAAAAATTAATTATGCAAAAAAAATTAGCAAAATCTATTCCCTTCCAGCCGAGTGAACAGACGCTGAGAAGATCCAGAGAAGGACAAATACTTACACAGCCAAGGCCGAATTTGGACTCTCTGAGCGTGGCGCAGCATCCCACCAGGCCGATGATGACCATCACCACGCTGGCAATGATGATGATGCTCGCAGGGATCAGAGACTGTCTGTCATTCACAAAACTGTCAAAGTTTTTATAACTCATGATGATGTAGGAACCAACGTAGGCCAATGCTGCTCCAGCACCCTGCGAAGCAAAGACAAACATTTTGTTGTCTAAGCGGACAAGTTTGTGGCACAGTTCAGTAGCGGTATACAAGAAAACATGCTGTTGTGATTATGTAAAACATTGAAACAGCAATTGACAAAATTAATTTGAATGTTACTTTATTCTTCGAGCGTCACAATATTCCCACTAGTCTCTATGAACTTTTGGAACTTATAAGATTGCCATGAATACCTGAAGCATTAATGAAAGTTCATCAAACTGGTCAAATATATTATTAAAAGGCAGAATTTAAATTAGGGCTGCACAATAGATTGCACATTTATCATTCACGAGATTATCACCATTAAGAGACGAAATTGCCCAAAGAACAGTTTGAGCTGCAGATAGACACAAAGAATTCACTCTCTATGCCAGTATTCTTTATGATATGTTGCTTGATGCAACAGAGAATATTAAAGTGGACTAAAATACTTTGACAGTACAGGTAAGTTGCTTGCCAGAACAGCAGATGTATCTTGAGGGAACTAGATTTTAATAAAATCATGCTGTTGACATGGAAATATTTTTTTTCTAGTAGCTGGATAGAGTACCGACTATCTGGGGTCTATAGCTTCTACGAACCAAATTAGAAAGACATTAACATCACTTAGCCAAGTATGCATTCATTAAATGCCATGTCTTAGTTGTAGCCTATGCCAACATCATCACATGTCATATGCTTTCCTAATATTACAAGTGCATGTCACCTTCATTATAATAATAAAATACTGCATCTCAGTAGGCTTTTGGATTTTGCACACATTAATATGTTGCAATGACAACTGTAGTTGGGTATTTCGTGCAGCTCATGTGAGATGTCTTTCAATTCAATTTAAGCTCAGTTCAATTTTAAAAAGTACTTTATCCCATTGGGAAATTAAGTGATGTTGCAACTCTCTTCAAAGAGTCATTGTCTATGGCTGTGGACAGGAAGGCTCTCCGTCAGCAGTCACTCCTGCCACATGTCCCAATGAGCGCCTGTCTAAAGACTGCTACTGTATGATAATCTCATGACTCTCATGGTATGCTAACAGATAGTAATTCAGGCAGAGTAGACAGTATTTCATAATAACATATCTTGTATGATGCAGTCAGCTGTTGGATAGCCCTGCTAATCCACCTCGTTTGCTTTGGTAGCTCTTTTTTTTTACATCTCTGTTTTGCAGTTTTCTTTAAAGGCCAGACATAGCTTGGGTCATAGTTCAGGAATTGCTTAAGTTTGAGATAATAACTTCTCTCGCTTAAAAAAAACAAGAATACCTTGTTGCCACATTTACGCATAAAAGCAATTACTTGAAAGTAAAAGTAAATATAACCCCAACAAAAAAGGCACAAACCTAATAGAGTAATTACTCTAACATGCTGCAGCCATGAGCACAGTTTAATTTTTAAAAACCTACAATGTCACAATCTGTCAGATATAACACATCATTTAAACTCTTGTCTCTGTAAGGCCAACTTGCTCAAAGGTCCAGTCTGCCCAAACTTTGCATTTATCATTGAATACTCGTTTGCTCCTCACACTCACCGATAAACCATGCATTTCAGACAAAATCTGCTGTATTTGAGAGGATCATCAGTGTACATTGGAGTCTCTTTCCTCAGGGCATGCCAGATACATTATTATACAGATACTAGGCAAAACTAAAAGGTACTGTGGTCCACTAGACTAGAGACCGAGGGGCCAAGAGAGGGCAGGAGAAGGCAGATGAGAAAACTGGGTCAATTTGTGGATGAAAAAAACTCCCTGACATGCAACCTGGACTTTGGAACTTTGTTGATCGCTTGTAAACAAAGCGACAGCGAAAGGAAAATAGCTCAGACCTTAAAAAGACAATATGGTACACTTTAAGAAGATAAACAATATAGTCACTCACTTCTTTCTGTTTGACGGGTCAATATATTAAAGATTTAATCTTATTTTGTTTTTAGTATTTGTCCTGAATTAATTAATTTTTGCTTCAAAAACATATTTTATATAATTCACAATAAGAAATGTAGCAAAAGTAAAAGAGAAATTGAATAAATAAAAACTACAAAAGTAATTTGTTCTGTCCAAATAACGGAGAAAAATATTACAGATTTAACACACACATGCATTTGGTTGTAAAATAAGAGCAAAGCAGTAAAGTTTTCTTAGAAGAAAAAATCCTTTTGTTGTATATAATGTGATATGAAATCATGTGATCACTCCAGGGTTAAAAGGTAGACCAAGTCACAAACTTACCATTGTTTGGCAATGACATCACCAATCATAAGACGCCATGCATGAGTCAGTCCTTTGCATATATGGAACAATTTCATATCTCTTTATCTAAATCAAGACAAAGAGATATATTTATCTCTTTATCATAATAATTTCCAGTTTGAAATTATTATGCTTATATAATTTCAATGTGAGTTAAACCTAAATTTAAAAAAGTGGGGCAGCTCAAGAGGCAAAGGTAAAGCATTTATCTTTAGACTGACACGGCCAATTTCCCTTTGCCCCTTGAAACGGAGCTGCTTTAAATCTAAGTCACCGATAAAAAGAAGTCCAATAGCAGAAGAAGAAAGTAACAAACGAACTGAAGTGTGGGGTTTCTTAAGCAACAACTCTGGTCATATGAAAAACAACTGAGTGATCGGCTCTTTTTGAAAGGCAAGACGATAATGCAGTCATTTCTAACACAACAGCAAAAATAAAATCAAACTTCCCTTTCATATGCTTTCAGTATTATTTCCTCTTTAACAGAATAGCTCTATTACTGTTTGCCTATTTCTTTTATATGAACAGATGTGTGTTATCAGTAGTCTAACAATAATTTACATGGACTTAGGTCTCATGACTCAGTTCTCTAATCACTTCCCAGTCACAAGATCCCTGATCCCTGTACCTCTTCCTGTGCTTCTCACCCCTTAATTTCCCCAGAAAATCTGATCTTGTGTCTATGACGCAGCACAAAGAGGCTTACACAACATATAGCGTTCACACGCCGCGTCGCCTCGCCTGAATTTGAGAAAGCCTGTCCGAGGTTATGTTTCTTAATTTGTGATGATTTTTTTTGAGTTCCTTACAGAACCTGTTGGGTTTGTTCTCACTGGGCCACATTCCACATGCGTGCTTTTAAATTTAGAAGAGCAGCTAATCACTCCGGCTCTTTTTCTTGTAAAACTTTGACTTAATGTTTAACTTTGGTCTCATAAAAACACTAAAATTATATGTATATGTTATTATTTTATGAAGCCATGTTAAGTGACACTGTTTTGTGTACGTCTTTGATTTTTTGCACCTTAAACAAATCCTAACTCTTGGACAACCTCAAATGAAATGGAATTGTTGCCGATTCTTGGAAACAGCTTACAAAACAAAAGCAAGTTTGACTGCTTCCCTAACAAAACTTCCAGTATTTTAAAGTAAGGATGATCCTACTTGAGGGCTGAATTATAGACATTTTTGCTCCATCTGCAAAGATGACAGTTGCTGATTTGTAACAACAAAACATAAAAACAGGAGCCTCTTATGAAGGTACTGAACAGAATTTTCCGGCTAAAATCTAAGCCGGTGACTCTACTCACAACTTATGTTTGTAAGTAGAGTGGTTAGCATGGTTAGCATTGCTGAAACAATAACACACAGTTTTGTGAGTATCCCCTTTATTATAATCCTGATGCTGCCAGCGTTTCTAAATTCAGCATATTCCATGACAGACAGAGGTTGAAAGCTCAAAAGGATAAAATAGAGAAATTGTTCTATGAGGTCGACTATGTTTTCTATGACTGTATTTTTTTGTGTTTTTATGATGTAAAGCATTTTAAACCGCCTTGTTGCTGAAATGTGCTATACAAACTTGAATTAATCAATCACACTTGATTGATTTTCATCTCAGCCTCCCTTTTATTTTCTAAGTGTGCTCGTTTGCGCTCTTTATGAGCTAAAATCAAACAAATATGGCCTGACATAGAAAAGGCAGCTTCCTTTTAAAACGCTTCTTAATTTCCTTAATGTTATGAACATATCACCTAAGTTTGAGTCTTCTTCCCTTAGTGACAGAGTCCACACGGAAAAGGGTTTTAAACAGCGCAATGATGCAGTGGTTATCTATGGAAACTACACTGAGGCAAATTAGATGTTCAAGTTTCCCGTCTCTGGTAAACCTTTCGTTACATCTCTTCTACATGCAGGTTGAGTTAGGCCTCAGTAAAGGGCCTACCGGGGCAGCGATCTGGAGCAAACAGAGACAGACTGTGGTGAAATAAGGAAGTCACAACATGGAGGTGGGCATTGAAATAAACGCAGGCAGTATCGGTGTTTTCTTCCTCACAGATGGGCAAATCAGACAGTAATGTAATTACACAGACCTCCGTTGCAAATTGTCCCAAAAATCTATTTAGTTTGCTCAAAAAAAAAAAGAAAAAAGAAAACACACAGGGGGAGCCAGCAGGCAGAACAAAGTGTTTACGTTAAAACAAATGCAGAAATGGCCTGTTGTCTAGACATGGTGAAGCAGAATTACTGGAAACGTTAGAGATGGTGGGGGGGCCTCATAGGGGCCTCTAAATATTTCCAGGAACTACATAAAAAAAGCTCCACATCCGGCCTATGTGAGCTACATAGGAAGGACAGCATAGAATAAGGAAGTTACTGAGCAACTTTGATTTCTGTAAACGCGTCGTCCGACCTAATAACGATTACATTCATCATAATAATTATAAAGTAAATAGACGCGGTTCAGATTTGCTTCTGGTTTCTCCCCCGAAGAGACGGCGTTCAAATCTCAGCAGGTGCAAAACGCACTCACCCAGAACACCAAGCTGAGGAAGAGCAGGATGGTCTTGGACGTACAAATGCCGCAGTCCATGATGCCAGAGGAGACTGAAGGAGAGCTGATCTGGAAATTATTTTCCCTTTTCTTTAATCTCGCAGCGAGGGGCCACGCTCCAGCTGCTTCTACCGCAGTCACAAGTTTCCTTCTCACTGGCCGACTGCGCTGACTGTGATCACATGGTCACATGACTGCTGCAAGGATTTTGAAGAGAAGGGGAGGGGTCACCGAGGGAACTGCTGGAGATTTAACAACAGAGCATTGTTACAATCCAGGGGAAACATTTTGTTAGTGAATTGACTTTATTTGTCTTTATGAAAAAAAAAAAAAAAAAAAAAAAAACAGCAACAAGTCAGAAATCTCCAACAGATGGAGAGATGATACTTCACAGTAAGTTTTGTTCATTTAGGGAAATTAAACTGGTACTGCACAATACTCATCAGTCATGATTCTGATGAGTATTGTGTGGTACAGTGATGACATCAAAAGCGTAATTCACTGGACTTAGGCCTTGATGACCTTTGACCTAGTTTTAACTGCAAAATCAATCTTTTATATCTTCAGTCCATGGCCAGTGAATTGCTTTGTGATCTGTAGAATATAGAGATAGGACAACCGCTTAAGTCAAAAATGTTGTGAAAACTGAAAAAATAAAATAAAATCTAGAAAATTCACCCAGGAAAAGTATGGCATGAGCTGGATTTGAAACCTGAAACATGTTGTTTTACTTTGGCATGTTGTGTGAATGCTAAATATATACTACAGTTCTACCATGACAACACTGATAACGATTAACCCATGTTTTCCACATTATTCATTTTTATTTTTCTTATAAACACTTTGTCCTCACTGAGCTCCCTTAGCTTTAGGATCTTGACCGATATGACACGTGAGCAGAAGAGACAGTCAAACTCTATCCACATGGTCAAATGTATTATTGACTTGCAAAGTTTAATATAGAGCACCTGAAATATGATACACCACTAACCCAGTTCTTGTGCCATCATAATATTGCTCCTACTGATATGGAGTAAAGAGATTTTAAAATAAAATTGTGAGGGTGTTAGTCATTTAACAAAAGCATCATAAAGATTATTTTATACAGCTGGGGTTATTATGTTAGTCATGATGGAATGAGGCTCGAAGTTGAAAGTGTTACAAAGTGTAAAATATGTTGGCTTTGTCAGGGAGACAAATCAAGTCAGATAGGTGGAACAAAGTTCATTTTAATTCTTGCAGTTTTGTGAGAAATAAATTAGGAAAGTAAATGGCCTGACCTATTTATACAAGGAATATATATGTAAATAGACAAGGTTTAGTAAATGGAGGTAGGCTCCATTTCATTTTTCATTTTTTCCAAAGATAAAAATGAGATTTTAAAATAAATGTCTACTTTTAACTTGAACTTGTAAGACCAAATTCTCTTATTTTTGCACAATTACATATTCTGTATCTAAACATCTGTCACTGTCAGTGACAAATTTGCTCTAACATCAGCACTGAGTCACCACTGACAGGAAGAAAGCAGAACTGCAGTCTGACAGACTTTTTTGTGCAAGCACCTTTGGATGCAACTGCAGGAGGCGCTATCAGTGCACCACAGGAGGCAGCAGGATATTTGCCAATCTTCTCCCTCGTGCACACATGCAAACTTATCTCTTAGCAGTACAGAAAAAGAAATAAGATAGAGCGGGAGAATAGATATCTATTTGCTTTGAGCGGTTTGAATGGGAGAAACATTTAATATCTGTTGCTTCGAGTAAATTTATCTATTAATGATCTATTTTTTGATGCAGTTGGTCACTTGAGAAACAGTCGTAATAAAACATCATTTTCACAGTTAGCAATTGATTATTTTCAATAAAAATGTTTCAGGATGAGAAAAAAACAGCTTCCCCCTTTACCCCCCACAATAGAAAGCAGTCACTGCTTATATTTAATTAAATTAAATACTGGAAATTAAAATATTGTAAATAGGAAGGAAATTTCCACTGCATTTTTAAAAGGCTTTGTGCCTGTTGTGCTACTATTATTATTTTCTGGTTTAAAAAAATTCTGGAAAGAATAAGTAATAATTCAGATGAGTCTGTTTAATATTGATTTAATATGCTTGTATTTACATCCAGAATTAAAAAAAGAATTCAAAACAGCAAAAGTGATTTTAAACTGTTGAGGTTCTAGTGAACTGAAAGATCAGGACATGAGAAAACACACTGATGGTTGGGTCAAGAAAGCGGGAAAAGGGATTGTGTTTAATCGATTTGTGTACATCTCTGATTAAATTGTTCGGGGAGGGAGAACCCGGGAAAATAATCTTGAATTCGTTTTTCTACCCACCCTTCATTGCTGGCTGATAATGTTATTCTGGCTCAGATCCACTTCCCTCCAAAAAGTGGAGACAGACACAAATTATACTTTTCATGGATATTTATTTATTATGGTGTTTACAGTATTTTGTTTTATTTTGAATTCAATTAATTAGGCAAATAAACCTGGAATTGAACGACTACCTAAAATGTCAAAAACATTAAACTGTTCAACATAACCTAATAATCATTTATCTTTAACTGCCAGCTTGCAAAGACGCAGCAAATCTGTGACAAACTTGAACAAATAAAAAACAAAAACAAATGTAGACGGAACATTTTTTAAACTGTTTTAATTTTTATGTTTTTGTACGTGAGTACTCAAATATTTTTTTCTGAATCTGGGAGAAGGAAACCAAATCTTACTGTCAGTAAAGATGAAGAATGTCCCTCCTCTGGTGCTCTATGTGGTTCTCATTTGAGATTTATTCACAAAACAATATTTACACAGCATTAAAGGCTTTTTTGTCCCCAAGCATCATACTGCCCTTTAAAAATAATTTTCATCTACACATGATTATAATTTTCTTGTCTGCAAAAAAGTGACATAGTTTTGTCATAATTTAAACTTACTGAGAAAACAACTGTGTTTCTTTGATGATTTTTCAAAGCATTTATTCAGCAAATGATAATTAAATTAACCACACATTTTACAACAACATACAAAGAAGATCACAAGCTTAAAGAGTATTTGGTTTGTTTTTTTTTCTGCATGATTATTTTGAGGTCAAAACCTTTGTTAAGTGATAAAAATGCATGTCTGAAATGGCATTAGACAGCTGCAAACTTGTACAGAATCAAGACACATTGTCTATGTTCAAATAGGTTTTTAATGAAATGATAGATTTATGAAGTAGAGATTGTATGGAATTTTTACTATGTACTTTTAAGAAGATAGGCAAAGTTTTTTCTCAAATTTTACAGAAAAATCCAGTTGAAGAAAACACACTCCTTATCGTGTTAGAGAGGTGCCACATCGAGCTGTGCTGGGATTGCTTCTATATGGTCCTCATCATGGTTTTTTGCACAATGCACAATTTTGCATTTTTCACTTATTTTATTCACCTATTCTTTCTTTATTTTTCACATAATCCAATCACAAAAACGTGTTCATTTCCAATTGTTTGAGATGTTGTCGTCTGTGAAAAAGTATCACAACACTTTTCCTTTCTTCACCTTACAGGGCTCAACTGTGTTTCTTGGATCATATTTCAATCAATTCATAAAGCAAAAAATGCTGAAAGAAAACTGAAATTGTGAGACAACATAACAAACACATCACATCCTTCAAGATGTTTTTATTAGAAGAATTTCTATTTGATCAGTTAGAGGTAATAAACCTTAGAAATGGTCTAAAATGAACATCTGAATAGACATGTGATAACCGCTACCCTATAAAAACAACAAAGAAATTGCGATAAACCACAAGTCTTGATCAAAAATAAAAATTAGTGAGGTAAACATTGTGTGATTTTTTTTAAAAATGTGTTTTTATGTGCATATGCAACCTCTTTCTCTGAATTTTTTATGAAAAATCCAGCTAAAGAAAACACAAACCTTATCTTGTCAGAGGGGGAGTGGGGGGGGGGGATGCCCGCCATGGTGTGGGGACTGTCTCCATAAAGTTCTCATCAGGATTTCATCTACTCCAGTGAGTCAAATATCATTAAGGTATTTCCTTTTTTCTTTTGTCATTGCCCATTTTAACTCATTCCATGGAAACCCATCTCTGTTTATGTTTGCTTAATATCTTCTCTCTGAAGAAGTTTGACTTTTTCTATCATCTCTGCAAAACACCCTGGAGGCAACTGTGTTTCTTTGACCTTCTTTTAATGTATTAATTATGCAAATGAAACTAAAAAAAAAGAAAACTTTTAGGAAAATACATAGAAAACACCCGGCGCTTTTAGATGGTTTAGTCATATATTTTTGTAACCTATTATTCAGGGGTTATAAACTTTATAAAATGTAGAAAATCCACATTTCGAATGACATCAGACAACTGCCAGCTTCTAATGAGGGACGAAAACTGCAAGAAATATAAACCATTCTACTGTAAGAATTAATAAATATGTAGTAGACTTTATGTGCAGTTTTTTAAACATCTGTTTATGCAGATATTCAACAATTTTCTTTATATTTTTACAGAAAAATCCAGCAGAAGAAAACACAATCCTTATCATGTCAGAGAGGGTGGGGAAGGTGCCCGCCGTAGTGGTGGGACTGTCTCTATAGGGCTCTCATCATGGTTTTATAAAGCCCGACTCTCGGATGCAGACAAGCAGAAGGATTTCTCCAATCTATCCTGTGTTTGACCTCAACTGACCTGAGCCTGCAGGTGGAGCTCCACAATGTCTTCTCCTGCGATTGCTTTGCCGGGGCCACTGCCGGCAAAAAAGAAAGCCAAATCCAAGAAGAAGACAGGTCCTTCAGTATCTGACCTGATCCTGAAGGCTGTGTCTGCCTCTGCACAACGTGGTGGCGTGTCCCTGGCAGCCGTGAAGAAGGTTCTTAAAGCCGGGGGATACGATGTGGTGAAGAACAAGGCAAGGATCTCTGTTGCCATCAAGCGTCTGGTGAACAAGAAAGTCTTGATCCGGAACAAGGGCTCCTTAAAGGTTAACAAAAAGCCACCTAAGCCCAGAAAGAGGAAGGTGGTGAAGAAGAAGAAGCCAAAGACCAAGAAGAAGAAGGCAAAGAAGGCCACCAAAAAAGCAGCCAAAAAGTCACCAAAGAAGAAGAGGAAGGCCAAGAGCCCAAAGAAAGCCAAAAAACCTGCTGTGGCCAAAAAGGCAAAGAAGCCAAAGA